ATTATTGTGGGCAGGCTATTGAAAAACGGTAGCTCCGCTATCGCTGATCCGCTAATAAAGCAAAATTAGTCCGCTATTCGCTGTCTTTGTTGCCACTTTAGAATCTTCTCTCAAAATTTGCAGTTGCACCACTTATTTGTATGGGAAAAACCTCATTACGCCATTAAACAATTTTTATTGGATCGTTCAGCAACAGATAATCGTTCCAACAATAAGCACCAGTCAATGACAAAAACAAACTTCAACAATAACAAAATAACCAAACAATGACAACAAAATTCGGAGATGAAAAGCAGTCAATCAGCAACAGCTCAGATTACACTTTCTCATTCCCTTTAAGAACATCAACGTGTTGAGCATTTCGTCTGAAATTCTGGATCGTTTGGATCTTATCGTATCGCCTAACTCAATCCTTGAGATGAAAATCAGCGATCATCACACTTATACGTAGAAAAGATTGTGAAATGAATCCACGAAACTACCATCCCATCTTATTAACCTGCTCAAGTTGTGAAGTTTTAGAGAAAATGGCTGCAGTCAAACTGACAAACCATTTAACAATGAATGAGTTGTTTTCCCCTTTTCAATTTGCTTTTCTAGATAGGAGATCAATCTTTGCGGTTCCATTTTGATCATAGCAAAATTATGTATCTCATTTAAATTAGAAAGGCTACACCGACACTATATGACACTATATATTTCGGGTTTTAAAAAACGTTTGATTCGGTATCCATACCTAATTTAGACTTAAAATTACAAGCATACGGCATACGATGTCTGGCTAGTTGAATCCGAGACTTTCTAACTGACCGTTTCCAATCAGTCCAAATTACTGATTCGTCCAGTATGTCGGAATATATCAGCAGTGGTAAGAGCAATCCCAATAACCCCTCAACATCCAGTATCAAGAATCAGCTCCCTTCTCATTCATCCAAGACCAAGGCTTCATAAGCGACCGAAGTTTGAAACGTCGTCATCATGTTTCCAATAAAGTTAAGAATCTAACGTCAGGGCATCACTCACATTGAGAACGTTCAGCTTAATTACCTTATCCACTAAACATAACTAAGCAAAGAACGCAACCTAAATTCGCCCATCCTAGAATATACCTCTCCCTCTTGGTCTTTCCCTGTTCAATACGGTAACATACGCTACGTTAAGGTCGTTAAAAGTGTTCGAAGAAGATACACACTTTTCGTCTTGAAGAGGCAATGTGGGAACATATCCGAACACAGAGGAGGTTATCAATGACTTTTTTCCCTTCTTTCAACCTTCCTCCTCTACCCACCACCAGTCCGCTCAGTACTCGTCATATTGTAATCACTTACAGTCGCACTTATTATTATCCAAATAAATATCAGTTATGTCTTTTCAAAGCGAGAATAAAAGTGAAGAAAGCATCGTGGCACTGCCACCCAACTCATTTGAAGCCAAGTAGCAGTGTTGCGCCGCAATAACATACTTATATACCTCAGTGATAGAAGAAATATGCATTCACTTGCAGACGAATAAATAGCGGAAGTAGTCCGCTGGGGCGGTATCGTTCATGAAAAAATAACTCTGTGAAGCGCTATCCAACGACAGCAGCGGAAGCTATCGCTACAAAACGCCGCTATTTGAACACGGTAGCGCGCCATTGCCCATCTCTGATATCTTTGTCATATCACGCCAGTTTCGTCAGTGTCATGCTCTCTTCATTTTAATATTGCATACATACAGTACTTACCATTCTTCCTTGGATGCTACCCTTCGTTCTTAAAGCCCCCTCCGACAATCTCGGAGTACGAGCGATTGTCGCTCTCTGATTATGATACGGTCCATTAGATCAATGACATAAGAAAGCAACGTCTAAAATTTAGGCAACTACGTCGAGCCTGAGGCTCATTACTCAAATAAGCAAAATTCACCCTTCAACGGACATTTTCGGGGAAACCAGTAATTTTTTTCAAAGCATTAATATAAGAAAGATATCCATATGGCACAGTGACTGAATAGCGAATGCACTGAATTTTTCACTGCGTGACACACATATTCGGTCACGTTCTCTTTAGCCCATTGCAAGCGAGCGATTTTACACTTACTTGATGTTTCATGTTGAATTTTTGAAGGAAATCACCAATAATCAATTCAGGTTGTGATGGATTTACAGCCGGTGCATTATGATAAGTCTGAGTACGCGGTTACGGCAACCGGAAACAAAGTGAATCGAAAGTCGAAACTTTACGGCAGTCAAAATATCATCCTTAACGGAAAGGTTGTTCCTTTGTCAATTTTTCTTCAAAAATAAATTTGCTGATTCAGAATCAACTTTTTGTGAAACGATCAGTGTGATCGATTTCAAAGTAAACGTGAATTTTTGATCATATCGAATCGCTCAAGTTCCGTTGAATTGTACATAATGATCGGATAAGCTTATTTTTGCAGTCAATACTGATGAAAGATTGTGTGTTACGCGGTGACATGAACTGCATAAGAGCCGGCAAGTATTGTGTTGTTGGTGAACGAACTGTCATTCGTCCGTCATATAAACGCTTTAGTCGAGGTCTTACATTTTTTCCTGTTCACATTGGTGATCACGTCTTCATCGAAAATGTGCGCATTCATTTCTACTTTGATATTTATTAATTTACTCGCAATAATGTAAATTCATTATGAGTCGATATTTTCTTTACTGTATTCTGTCATGTGCTACGCATCAAACTAACACGTTCAATTCATAGAAGTCTTATTTTGCACGAGATGAAGTTGTAATATGAAGAATATATAAACATAAACGTGTGATAATGAATTTGAAGGATTGTGTTATAATGGCTGCTCAGATTGGTGCATATGTGCATATTGGTCATGATGCCGTCGTGGGCCGAAGTGTTATATTAAAAGATTGTGTTCAAGTTCTACCTAATACGGTTGTTTCACCCGATGCAGTCATCCCACCATTTTCGATTGTCGGTGGAAATCCAGGCGGGTTTTAATGGTTGAAAATTCCGTTGGAGTAGAAAGGGTGACGGAGAAAGATTACAGAAACGTTTACCAGAATCGTCCGGTAGTCAGAATCTGAACCACTTATTCTTTAATCTGAAACTCTTTGCTGTTCAGGTACTATTGTTGGTGAGCTTCCCGAAAGTTCTCCAGAATTGATGGCGCAAGCAACGCGAACGTTTTATGAAGGCTTCACTCCTGACATCCTTGATACCACAACTATTTCATGATATTTTTATAACCGTCACTAAATGTTTCACTTTTACATTAAATGTTGTTATGCTTGTCATTATTTTGACTGGGCTCTTTTACTGATCGTTTGTATTTTATTATATATCGAAATTGAGAGCAATTATTCATATGCGTAATAAAATAAATGGATGATGAAAGTACCAATAAAAATGCATCAAAAATGATGGCATGTACAAGCATTCAAAAACAGTAAAGTCATAGATAAGACAGGTATTCATATGTTCAGAAAGACACAATTCACAAATAATGATCTGATCTTGGGAATGAAGTGGACGTGTAATACCAAAGAGCTGAATGCAATATGACGTAGATATTGTATGAAGGATAATAACTTATGTCCGAGAATCGTCCCTCGGTACCGCCTTCAAAATACGTATTTCGCATTTCGGTCGATCGTTATTGTCCGTTTCAACACGACCCATTCGTTGCACAACCTTCAAACAAATTGATAACCTTAACTCAACACTTCAACATAACATGTTTAATCAATAATACACTCACTCTTAACAAACGAACAAAGCAAAACGTCAATCAGTGACAATAAACATCATTAACCTTCATCCCCGCCGCAACCCTTCCGAAAATGGTATGTTTGCCATCTAGATGTTGTGTGGGTGCTAGAGTGATAAAGAATTGTGAGCCATTCGTATTCGGACCAGCATTCGCCATTGAGACAACGCCGGCACCGGTGTGTTTCAAGTCATCATGAATTTCATCATGAAAACGATCTCCATAGATCGATGCACCACCTCGACCTTAATTGATCTATCCTCAATTTTATTCTCAATCATCACCGAAACGCGATGAAACAATCACGAACCTGTCCCAGTCGGATCACCACCCTGAATCATAAAATCCGCGATAATCCTGTGGAATATTGTGCCATTATAATAACCTCTACGAGATAATTCCGCAAAATTTTTGCACGTCTTCGGCGCATGATCCCAATACAATTCAATGCTTATTGTACCCATGCTGTAATTTCACTTCGTTCACTAATAACAAATATATCTTCGTCTTCATTCACACCTTTCGGATTCATTTCACAATTATCTTCATGGGCATCATCTGGCATATACAGTTTTGCCCGTCATGTGCCACCTAAACTCAATCATTCTAGTACCCGGATTTCTCGTGACCATTGAAAATATTTAAAATCAAAGAACAAATTTGATCGAATGAAATTCACCTTGTTTCCAACGCAACGAACGGAGGCTGCGTGGAAGAAGACACTACAGCCGACATGTTAATGCCTCAAAATATAACAAACACGCTCAACTTCCAGTTGTTCAAAATACTCTTCCAAATCACTCTGAGACAATCCACAAAAATAACATTTCTCAGAAAACATATTTCCGCACGAATTAAAAAACTCTACGGTCCGCAAGTCACTCATTCATTTGACAGTACTAGAATAAACATAAACCGATACCAATTGAAACTGACAATAATAAAAATTAAAAGGTAAGTATATCCGAATCAAATAACAACATTTTATTGAATATCATCAATCATATAACCGTTCCAACGAATAATTGAATAATTTTTAATGAAGCACACTCGAATGAATATTTTGTTGGTTTGCAGCAATTAACAATCGGAACTGACAATAACAACGAGCATTCCATTAATCAGTCAATGAATAAACGTACAAAAAACAACGAATAAAAACAAATTGAATGAATTCAATCATCATTTATTCAGCTGCGTACTGGTGCCTGTGCTAGAAACTCCCAATAGCGTTGATAAGGAGTTCTTTCAAGGGCATTATCTTTCCAAAGGTCAGGTGTAAGATATGAATAGGTACGTTGGATTGCGGCATAAGTTGCTTTTGCAAAGTTGCCAAGGGTAGCTGTTTGACCAACAGCTGATGTATAACAATCCTCGACACCAGCCATTTGCAGAAGCTTTTTCGGGACAGGGGCTGATACAATTCCAGTACCTCGAGGCGCTGGAATAAGACGTACGAGGACTGAACCACATTTGCCAGTTACCTGAAGTAACGTTTACAGTATATTTTCTATTTGCACTGGCAATTTTAAAGTGACATTACCTTGCAAGGAACAGTGTGTGGCTGACCGATCTTGTTACCCCAATAACCTCGTCTAACAGGAATAACAGATAATTTGGCAGCAACAATAGCTCCTCGAATAGCAGTAGCAACTTCTTTGGAGCATTTCACACCCAAACCAACGTGTCCATTATGATCACCAATAGCGACGAAAGCCTGAGCATTACACATTCTTTCATTTAGATATTCGTTGTGAGGTGTCAGCAAATATCAGCATCTCACAAACCTTGAATCTTGTTCGCTGTCCAGCCCTAGTTTGTTTCTGCACTGGCATAATCTTCAAAACCTCATCTTTTAGGTTAAACAATAACGCGTCAATTATTTCGAATTCCTGAAACGATTAGTCACTGTCATAACAAAATGACTGATTGCAAATTGAGTAATGATCAGTGAAGAAGAACCTTAATAGGTAACGAATTAAGGTAGATCTCTTCGAGCGATGTGATCTTCCTGTCTTTTACCAAACGTCCCAATTTTGTGACTGGTACCCACTCTTTGTCTCCTTCTTTGCCACTTCTTCCACCACGGCCTCCTCTACCACGGCCTCTTCCTCGACCACCACGTTCACCACCAGGACCACCTCGCCCTCCTCCACGACCTTAAACCAACAAAAACAATCAAATTAAATTCATCTCCAAAAGGAAACTAACAAACAAATGAATCACCTCCACGGTCGCCGCTTCCGAATCCACCGCGAAATCCCCCACGATCAGCCATCGATGATTGATATTCCCTTTAAATAAGAGTTTTATATAAATATAACACAACATAAAACAAAAATTACATGCAAACGCCCAATAATTTGTTGATTGTGAACCCTTCCGTTAGTACTCGTATTTTACGTACCATCTATTAATCGAAAGTGCGGCTACTAAACACGCGTCAATTTAAAAACACTACTTCAGGTCTACGTTACGTCTTTATCCACATTCGATTAACTAAGCTTTAAAAGTGGAAAAGTTCTGTAACTTGAGGAGGTTCAAATTCAATTCCATCAAAAACAGAAACAAACATCACTATTTTATCAACATCGATGCATAACGAACTCGCTCGTTGCATTCACACCTATTGATGATACCGTACATTGTTTAAAAATATGTTTTCTGAGATGCAAGGCAAATAGCAGCTCAGATTTGTGGTTAGGTATGGACAACCTCCAAACCTGTTACGATTACGTTCTATAGGCAATCTGCAGAAAATCATCTCAGCTAATTTTGTCTGCTTCTAGCCTAAAAACGAACGTGACGGTGGAATTAAACTTAAGCCTGAACCTTATTGAACCGAATAAGTCCAAACCACACCCAGATGGTATGTGTAGGATGCCAATTCGCTGTGCTGTTAACGCTTGTCTCATTTTCACTATGTCACCAAAATTTAAAGCGCGCCGATATGGTTCAGACTAGTGTTGCGCAGGGAGAGAAAAATAAGTCGGGGACGGGGAGAGTCTCCGAAAATGGCCGCCACTCGAAAATGGTCGGGAACGAGGACGAGAACTTGGGAACGGGTAGTTACGGAGAGAAAACTCAATCTTATCCCCGTCCCCGACTCTCGGAAACTCCCTGAAGAGGTAGCTTTGGAATTGGAGTCCGCAGCACCTTGAAAAGATGATTTCTTGATGGAAAAGCATTTAAATAAGTGATCTTTAGGCTAGAAAAGCGATAACTGCAAAGGCGCAATGCAATTCTATTTACAGCATTTTATTCAATCATATGAGAAAATAGAGTTTTTGAAAATAGCAAAATTTTAAAAATAGCGAAAACAGCAAAAAAATAGCATACCAAATGGAGTTTAGCAAAAAAAATAGGAAAAAATAGAATTTTTGAAAAAATAGCAAAATTTCTTTGACAAAAACAAAACAGAATACACACTCTACTCCTGCAGTTTTCTACTACATTCACCTGTGCGGACATATTACATGTCACTGTGCAGCTCTCGAAATATTCCTAATCGTGAGAAGGAATTAACACACGGATTCATGAACTCAAATTTTCGTGGAATTTTGTTGTTCTCGGTTCTCATTAGAAAATGTGATTATCTCCATTAGTTTACATAGAAAAGCATCCAGATGAGCGTGACAGAAACTGATGAAGAGCAGAATAATCAGTTGAATGTTCAATGAAATGCTACGCAAAAGTTCATCGAGCTGTTGTTGATCATGCCATTCGTCTGACTTACACCAGTTTCCTTGACTATTCATCAGTGATAAGTGGCAAACAACAAGGATGACTGCGTGTGAATGAGTTGGGAATGATTATCAAAAATACAAATTGACCTGCTTTATCAAATCTCGAGATCCCAAAATAGATTTCAAAACTGAAATCCCGAGGTCGGGATCAGAACTGAAATCCCGGGATCCCCTGTAAACCCTAGCTGAAACAGGATGGTAGCGGGGCCTTAAAGGCGAACATGCTAGCAAAGATCGAATATTCCACTTCGAATTGTTCGCAAGAGCGCGGTAGACTAGAATTCAATTTTTTTCGGGGAGTTTCAGGTAGACTCCCCGAAATTTCGAGGAGTCTCCCTGAAATTTCGGAGAGAGCCGATAATTCTGCAGAAGTCGGGGACATATCGGGGACGGGAAGAGTCCCCGAAAATGGCCGCCGCTCGATAACGGTCGGGGACAGAGAAGGGGACCCGGAATTCGGAGACTCCTCGCACAACACTAGTTCAAACTCATCAACATTGTCCCACATTCATCGGATGGTGATACTTGCGGAACGTTCTTTAAGGGAAGAAGATTTTAAGTAATGAATTAATCAGTTAAAATGTTGGCAAATTTGTCGAATTTACCAATACTTTACAAAAAATCCTAACAATAAATGTAATACAAGCACAACGATCCATTCGAATATTTATTACAAATACAGCATTAAAAGTGAACACTTGACTAAAGCAATAATCAGGTGATACAATTACGAAGGAAGATGGAGGCGTCATTGAACTTCATCCATCAAACATAAATAAACCAAAAAACAAACAAAATACACATTTGTATAACATGCTTTATGAATAATTCACAGCTATGTCAGAAATATTTATAACTAAAGCTCAACAGACAGTTGTTTGAACGCATTTTTGAAGAAAAAAGTTTCAGTTGTGTGATGACGACAATATGCGTTCAAATGGAATGAATGTATGGAACATATAAACAAACAATTCAACGAATATGGCTAAAGAATCTGATTAATGGTTGTTTGTGGTGTTAATTTTTTGTTTGTTGAGGAATGCTTCTGAGTCGTGCAAATAGCAGCCTGAGGACAGACTAGTAAAGGAGTTGTGGCAGCGAAATTGCTGAGAACATGACGTGATGCACGTTGATGCAATGGTGAGGCGACGTTTTTGTTGGTAAAGCCGCTTAGAAGAACGGCCGTCGTTGTCTTGCCGACCATTGGTTTGATTTCGTGCGGTTGTAAGATGCGACGACGTTTTTTGGGCAGTTTTGACCTGAAGCGATAAGTTCAGTCGTGACTGCATGAAACCAACCCACACTCATCTATACCAAAAAGACTCAAAGAGCAAACCTAGCTTGAGCATGTGAGTAAAACATCGCAAAATTCGAAACAATAACTGGAACAGGCAGCGCGATTGTAAGAACACCCATTAATGCACAAATTGAACCAACTAGCATTCCCAAATAAGTTTTTGGAACCTCAAATGGATATTGATTTAAGGATGAATTGAAACGCTATTTTTATATTTGACTTGAACTGAATTACGATTCACAACAATTATTTATTCGTTCATTTATTCCTTTAACCTCTGATTGAACTAACCATATCACCGAATCCAATCGTACACATTGTAATAATTGCCCCTGAAAAAACACACATGAGCATTATACCAAGCCATTCGAATAGAAAGAAATATAATAATTTAAAACTGACACCACAAACCAACTGGAATTGAGTCAAACTGATTGTCGGGATTGTGTTCAACACGTTCTGCATAATACACTAATGCTGCGAATATTACAATACCAAGAAGAACAAAAAACACTAACAAAAGTAGTTCCTAAATGATTTTACATCATGAAAACGTGACCTTTTATTCAATATTTGCTAATAACAACAATAACGGTAATATTAATAACTGTAGTAATAATAAGAGGAATAACAGTAACAATAACATGAATAGTAATAGTAATAATAATAATAATAATAATAATAATAATAGTAATAATAATA